CCAGACGACATTGCTCAACAGCAGTAATCACGCCACTCGGCCTATTCGAGTACCTTAGAATGCCCTTCGGCCTCAGTAACGCTGCACAAACGTTTCAGCGTTTCATTCATGAGGTAACACGGGGACTTGGAGCCGTTTAGCCTTATCTAGATGACATTCTCATCGCGAGCTCTTCTGACGAAGAACTCTTCGTCACCTCTACGCTCTGTTTCAACGCTTAACACAGTATAGGGTTACCGTCCACCCGATAAAAGCGAGCTTGGTCAGAGCTCCATCAACTTGCTTGGCCACCGCATATACGCCGCTGGTATTGAAGCTATGCCAGACAAACTACAGGCACTGAAGGACCATCCTGCTCTCAGTTCCTTCAACCAGTTACGCCGATTCCTCAGCCAGGTCAACTATTACGAGCGCTTATTCCTAACTGCGCGAGCATTGTTTAACTAATGTCCGACTAGCTGCGCGGTAAACAACGGTCTTTTCATTTTGCAGACGACTCTAGACTGTCTTTTGAGAAGCTCAAAGACGCTATCCCCAACATGGCGCTTCTCGCCCATCCAGACACCCCTGAACCACTCTCCCTGACAACTGACACATCCGACACTGCCGTCGGTGCAGTTCTTCAACAAATCATCGAACGTCGATGGATACCTCTAGGTTACTTCTCGAAACGTTTACAACTTGCCCAATCGCGTTACAGCACCTTCGGTGGTGAACTGTTTATTATCTGTCTAGGTATCAGACATTTTCGTCACCACCTAGAAGGTCGACATTTTACAGTCTTCACTGACCACAAACCATTGAACTACGCAATCACTGGCGCCAGGTACACGTATTCTTCGCGGAAACTGGACACCTAGTCTACATTTCTCAGTTTACGACAGACGTACGACATGTCTCAGGTGCTCTCAATCCCGTCGCGGAGGCGCTTTCATGCATTCAACAAATCAACTTACTGCCTGGCACCAACATTAATCTAGCCGCCATGACTGCTGTCCAACAAGCTGGTTCTGACATAGACAAGCTACTACGCAACACCTCGTTGAATCTACGAGAAGTGCCACTAGCTTCGTCTGAGGGGACCATTTCTTTTAACGCCTCACAAACTTCGCCCTGACTCCTAGTTCCTACTTCGACGCGTCGACTACTTTTCAAAGCTTTACACAACCTGACTCATCCCGGCGTACGTGCGTCGCAGAAGCTCGTAACTGAACGCCTCGCACGGCCCAAACTCAATCGCAATGTCTGCCTTTGGGCACGCGCATGCTTAGAGTATCAGCGTGCCAAGGTATACAGACACACCCAAAAGCCCACTTGGCGTCTTTCTCGCCCGTGACTCTCGTTTTGCACCCGTCCATGTCGACCTGGTCGGACCTTTGCCCTTATGCAAAGGCTAGGTGTACCTCCTTACTTGTGTCGACCGATTCACCCGTTGGCCAGAGTCGATTCGGATAGTCAATTGCTAAACTGGGACAGTTGCGCAAACGTTCCTGGAACGCTGGGTAGCTCAATTCAGTTGCCCAAGCGTAGCCAGCACTGACAGAGGATCGCACTTAGACGGATCCTTCAGCAAACTGCTCGACGTTCTTGGTTGCCGGCATAACCGAACCGTTGCATTCCATCCCGCAGCTAATGGGATGGTAGAAAGGTTCCACCGGCAACACAAAGCATCACTCTGTGCCCAATCTAGCACATCCTAGCGCAAAGCACTCCCGCTCGTTCACTTAAGCATAAGTGGATTTCCATGCCACTCCATCGTCGCTAGTCTTTGGATGCACACAACGCTTACCTGGTGAATCCTTATCACCAAAAGCGTCAACAAACTTTGACTATGGGAGCTACGCAGCTCGCCTATTTCATCATATGCGACAGCTTCAACCTGTGCAACCCAGAGCACAGAGCTTGCTTACCAACGTAGACGAACGCTTAACTACTTGCACGCACGTGTTCGTTCGCACTGACGGCGGACGCTGACACCTCAACCTCCTTATTCTGGCCCATACCGTGTCGTACACAGAAGATACAAGACGTTTACCATTGACTACAATGGTAAGACTGAGACGGTCAACGTAGATCGACACAAGCCAGCATTCCTCTACAAGTCTGCCTCTTCGGTGCAGCAAGCACCTTCACAGCCTGCGCCATCACAGCTCGCAAAGCAACCTCAAACGAGCCAGTTCGTTCCAGCAGAACCGAAACCTCAACCGACAGCACTCCTACCCGCCTTACTATCAATCGACGCGGTAGGAAGCTCAAACCTCTAGTTCGATTGCGGACTTCGTTCGAACTTACTATTTTACATAAAGCGTGCCTTTGAAATCTTTTGCTCTTACCAAACGTTTTTGCAAATCCACAAAAAACAGACCACAAGGTTTTGAAACTACTAAAAAGGAGCAAAACCTTGTGAAAACCCAAAAATAGTTCTGCACATTTTTCGCTTCGCACTCTTTTGTGTCTAGGTATGCATTTATGCTGCTTTTTCATTTCGCTTTCCATGTAC